GTGTCATATCTATTCAGAAAGATGTATGAATAAGAGAGGCAATTTTAAGAAGCGGAGACAGATCCATGCCTGTTGTTAGCCAATGCATTCATGCTAGAGGTGAACTGRGACTAGGTTCTTCAAGAGCATTAAATCATTTCTAGGAAGTTCCAAGAAAGCAGCATCACTCTGCCCTGCAGTAAGGATGTTCTCACCACAACGCAAAATCCTACTATATATTTTGTTTGGTGTTTGTGACTTTGCACTGAAGAAGGGTACAAACCACAAGGCCAGGACAAGAATCAAGACTCAGAAGTGCCTGCTACATCCAGAAATAAAGCCTGGGCTCTGCCCTCAGGAATAAATCTTGCCGTGTTGAATCAGATGGCTGCATGCAACATTACCAAGTGTAATTTAATATTTGCAAACTGTAGCAATCCAAGCCTGCAATGCATGGATGAATGGCTCCAGGTCTGCCTACCTGCATCAAAGGGCAGCCTATACATCTATGTGACCATGAAAACTTCCAAAGACAGCTACTAATGTGTAAAGGGGAAAGTGAGGGGCTCTCGRGGAAGATAACCTTGTGGGTCCTTCATGGAGCACCGTAGCAAGAGTGGATGTTGTGTTTTGTGCAGCACACTATTCTCTCCTTTAGCAAACAGACTGAATGTAGTGGGTCTCTAGGCATCACAGGAGTTAACTCACAGGAGTTAAGGAACATGTGGAAAGGAAAACTGATTGCTTTCAGTGTAGCTGGCTACTCAGAAGTATCAAGTGCTATCAAACTACCTGACCGCTCCCTGTTTGCCTCCATCATGCTTCACTGTTGATTTTTTTTTCAACTCCATAAAAATGCTTCCATTTGAGAGTAAGCATCAGAAGAGAGATTAACGATGACGGTTCTAATTATGGAATGCATATGGAAGTAAACAGTCCAAAAGACAGATTATTGTCCTCAGGTTGGGATTTATACAATGTTTTCCTTTCTGAAAGGCCTAGGAAGGACAAACGGTGCTGCAGGATACCTCATGGTGTTCCCCATCTTTCAATGGCAAATCCACTCCTCCAGAGGCAAAAAAAAAAGGAGGAAGGTACTTGTCTAATTATGCTCTGTGGAGTAATTCTCCTTTTTATTTCTCGGTGTATTGCCTGACTGGTGGAAAATCACTCTTGGCAAACACAAAACACACCTTGCTGCCAAAAGGTGCATCTTTAAATTATTAATCAAGAGCACACAGAACCACGAAAGGTTGAATATTGAACCAAGGCTCAATTGACACTCTGGAAGTTGAAGAAGATATGGAAGACTCCCTTTTAATTTATTTATTCCTTTTCTGTTCTGTTATCCTGATATGCTGCTTCCTGTTACCACTGCACCTCGAACTGTATGGTATTACGTGATTTTGTTTTCAGATTGTTGGAGATAAAGTTACTTCATTATTAATATATATGCACTGTGCATATCCATAAATATTGTATATATACGTGTGTGTAAACCTACTGGAAGTGTTAATAGTTAAGATAAACTAAGTCCATTATYGCAATGAGTGACTATTTCTATGACCCTATTTGCAATAAAACCAGATTCAATGATATGAGAAAATTGCTAGGTTTCGAAATAATTGAACCAGGCCAGACGAATCCCCACAAAGGCATCATTTACAAAGTGCTTTGCTTGTCTAAAATATTTATTCCTGCAGAAGGAAATGGAAAAAGAGTTCATATGGTTACACAGCTATCCTCTGAGCATAAAATTGTTTTATCATGTTATGTTTATTTCCTAGACATCTTCCATTGGGGTATTGCAGGAAAATATGGGCTGTGTAGTTAGTTCCTTTGTGTGAACTGTTCATATTTATTCACTGGGAAGTCAATCATGTTTCATTTGGGCTTGTTTTGTTTTACTGCTGAGCAAACACATAAGCAACCCTTTCTATGCAAAAACTTATTTGCATGTACAGTGTGAATGTACCGTTCAAAGTCAGTACTGCAGTGATATTTGAGATATCACTGCTTTTGCTGCTATGCAACATAGGACGTAGCAGTGAAGTTCACCCGCAGGAAATTGGCTTTGCTGATTAAGGCTGCAGTGGTCACGCTTAAGGACAGCATCAGTAGTTAAAGATATTTTTCTTTTGTTTTCTGTTGAAAGCCTGGATAGATTTTTGCTATTAAATGCTTTYAACAAAAAGCTTCCAAGTAATCTACAAACAAAGAATTATTCCCAGCAATTATCCACGGAATCAATCTGAATAATGAATGTGTTCACAGAAGTCACAATCTATTTGTGTGCAATTAACCAAAAGAAGTGGAGGTGACATTCACAAGCTAAATAATTCATTTATGAATTCTTTGTCCAGTTTCAGTTTTGACACATGTTGCATAAAATCAGATGAAAGTTGAGATGAAAAATTATTTTAAATAGGAGGGAAATTTTAAATGAAATTCTTAAATCTTCCAAAGCAGATTATCCCAATATTGTATAAATCACACATTGCAAGTGATTTAAAAGACTACTGAAGTTATTTTCCTGGAATCTTTCTCTTTGTGCATTAAGCTGTGTTTTATTCCTATCATATATCCAATTTTAGGTTGTTAAACTGCAATCAAAAGCCCTTAGTAGGAATGGATCTGTTCCTGTTATGAGGTTTGAACTTCTGACACCTCTATCCACTGCAACTTGAGTGCCCAGGTAACTACTAATTATTCAAGCATTTACAACTGTTACTATCAATTTAATTAGCATGCAATGGGAAAAAAAAAAAAAGTGATAATGGTTCTATTAAATGATCATTCCTAATATTTAGATAGCAAGTTTGCATGAAAACATATATAAGCTGCCCTATAATTTTTCAATCAAATAACAGAAAAATGTTCACCTTTATGAGGAATCTTARAAGCAAAAATAATGTTTTTCTCTCACCCAAAATGAAAAATATTATGTCCACACTGTCATTTCTTCAAAACTGGAGGGGGAAAAAAAAAAGTATTTCTTTGGGCTTTTCTAAAGAAAAAMAAATAAATAATTTCTGACTTATTGCTTAGAAACCTTGCTTCAAGTAAAACTAGAGTCAGCAAAAAAGGGACAGGAGCTTGAGTTTATTACTCAAATACTAAAGTTTGCAAAATCTTTGCAACTTTCTGCAGGAAAGTATTAAGAAGGCTACAAAAGACCTTTTTATGTGCCTTGACACCACCTTCTTTACACCAGTAAAAAGAAAGGACACATTTCATCTAGAGAAAGTGAAGGATAGATTTTGAACAATAGATTTTGACTTCCATCTTTCCATCTCCACCAGTTTCATTGGCCAGAGTAGACAAGTAAATTCCTTTTTACAATGGTTAGTGGCAAGCGATTATCAAGGAGGAACTAGAGTAAAAGCTAGCAGTTATGGCTTGGAAGGCTTTGTCACTTTACTGCCCAAGATGCTATGAGCATCTGCTACAAGCGAACTGTTAGAGAATAATATTCTACCTACCAAAATCTGGGTTCAAGTATTCCTCAAATAACTGCTGTGAAACCCTTGCAGGATGCATCGGAGAGTTTTACAAGTCCTGCAGCTGTGAGCTGGTTGCAGCATGAGGAAAAGCCCTCCATTACCCCAATGCACAGGCAAGAGAAGGTAAGGCAAATCTCTTCAGATAGCAATTAGATATGGTGCGTTTAGTAGAGAGCCTCAGGACATCAAGACGTGTCTTCTTCCACCCTGACACTGCTTTCACAGCTGGAAAGGGGAAGGCTTGAAGACCTCAGCCTCATGAAGCTTGGCTGCAAAGGCTGCCCTTTCCTGTCCCCCTGCTGCCTTGCCCCACTAGTGCTCTGCAGAGCAGGAACTCAACCTTTCCCAACTGCTCCCTAAGCCCCTGAAGGGAAGATTAAAATAGTGAGGACAAAAGATCTGCTTTGCTCTCTAGTTTCTTGTGCCACTGTGAGCATCTCACCTCTCTTGCCCCACTAGATTAGTGTGAAACAAGGGTCCTAGTCCGAATGGCCCAAGACCTTGCACAGGCGTAACGTTGAAGGATACTRAAGTCTTTCCTCCCCCTCTGCAAGAAAATTGCCCCTTGTGAATTTAGCAATCACACAGTCCTACCATGGGAGACCCCATCCTGCCACCTGGAAAATAACATAGACCTGTAGTAGTTTAGACATGTCACAGCAAATAAATAGCCCCAGGAAAAGAAAAACAAAAAAAGCTCACACTCGTGCTCGTAGAGACAGTAAACCACCATATTTTAGCAATCATGACAGGTATTTTTGACTGGAAATTGTATATTTAATGACGACCAGCCTTCAGCATTTGACAAGGGGTTGTTAAAGCCTCTTGAACAGTAAATCATCTCTCTCGCCTATCAATAATCTTATTATAATATCCATAGAAATGTCTAATGTTAAAATCCCACTTTATTACTATAATAATGGATCTAATTTGTAAAACATATAAAGTGAAGCCATAACTGTACTGGAGAGACATATATGTGATCCCACTGCATCTATATCATTTCCTGATAGCTTTTGCCCACATTTTCAGCAGGAGAAGGATTAAAAGCAATGTTACTTTTAATATCTTTGAGATAGAGAATAGTTTCTTGTAAGGAAACCAAGATGTTTATGGAACTGCAACAACCATTAGAAAAAGAACAGCCTTGACTTTACATTTATGCATATAAATCTGTAGGTGGTTATCTGTGATTTGCTCTTTTCAACCAGTTCCAGTTTCCAGTTGCCAGGAAAGCCTTGCTTTCCATCTGCATATCTAGTTTTATCACTACATGCTATTTTTGGCTACCGAGTACATTTCAAGTAACGTCATCCTCCCCAAGCCAACACTGGTATGAAGGGTGGAAACTTGTCTTTCCACTCCTCTGTGTCATTTGCTGCTGCCACCCCAGCTTTGTGGCACTGCCTGCTCTCTCTGGGGGTCTCCAAAGGGGTCTCCAGGCACTCTTCCCTCGTCATTCCCATTTACTTAAGCAAGTTGCTTTCCAACCGAAGCTTCGTGTGGGAGACTTCATGTTGGCATCCAGAGTACATGTCCCAGTCATGTCCAGCCCCATCTTTCAGCTCTAGCACAAAGGAGTTCCCGGTAAGTAATTTTTTAATGGTTGCCATAGTAGTCCTGTCCAGTGCCCACAGCATTTCACAGGTGCATTATTTTAAGGGTATATATTTCCTGATAATGCTTTGGTAGATTTCCAGCTCTTGCCGGAGTCCAACTATGTTAACACTGGGTTTCTGTCCGAGGGGAAAATGCATCAGTTTGTTTTGACACAGTGTAGTTTTGATTTTCATATTGTTAAGCCTGGTAAATAATGAAAATGCTTCCTTATTCTTAAGGTATACCCTGGTTACGTGCTGCCCAACCACCTCACTTTTGACATTTCTCTCTTCTGATGTGGTGCTCTTTGGAAAAGCTTGTGAAGTTACAAATCTCTTCACATATAAGGTCCAATTGCCTTCTCTGTGCCACTAGACCAGCCCTCCCAGCAAAATCTCTAACCAYTGCTGGCCTCAGCTAGACATCTTCCATTCTGTCTCCCTGAAACTGTTTCACTTTACACAGAATAATTAAATATTCATTAGGCCAGAAAGTGTGTGCATGTGCGTGGCTATAGCACAGTGCTTAGGGCACTCACCTGGTCCATGAGAGACCCTGTTCCCAGCGCCTGCTCCAATAAATAATTAACTATTTCATATTAAGTATTCATGGAAGCAAGGACAGGAGCAGACCTCTTCTATCACCAGTGAACACTGAAACACGAGGTTGTAAAGTCTTTCTCTCATAATTTGCCCAATGAGTATTTAAATGTCTCGTAAGTGCWAAGTTAGGCCAAAATTTGACTTCTAAATGTCTCAGAAGCAGGTATCGGATCTGAGGACACTCCTCACTCCGCAGCAGGTGTTGCTGCCTATGTTATATGGCTTCCTGTTCACAGGCCAGCTGCTGGGGATGTCATTTTTAAGCATATAATTCTCTCATGAATCACGTAGGAAGTCCAGGCATCCAACTGAAAATTGCCCTGGCAGGCTGTATCTGCCCAGGAATGTCCCCACTAAATCCCCTTCTGGATTCAACCAGCAGTGATATCTCTTCTGCAGATGATGTGTGGTGAACTTGGGTTCAGGCAAGGGACTGATCAGAGAGGGCAGAAGGCAATGCTTGCTTGGGGAATCCGGCCCATTCTCCACACTCTGGGATCTGTCATGCCCAGACTGTAGGTACCTTAAGCCCACCTCCGTAGCCCATGTGGCACTGGTGGCAATGGCAGAATGTAGGGAGTTGTCTGAAAGAAGAGGTGTAGGGCAAGGGAAGACTGAGGAAGAGGCACATAAGAAGAASAGAGATAGTAAGCAACAGGAACAAGCAAACTACCTAAGAAATAGCAGAAAAAGTGAGAGAAGAGGGAAAGAAGCACTGGAGAAGATGAATTTGAACTTAAATTAAAAATAAAGTGTGGAGAATCTCTGCCTCCCACTTAGGATTCTGAAAGCCTTTGAACTTGTCATCTGCTGCTCTGCTCTCTGAGGACAGTGGGTGTCTCTGAACTGAGATATTTTGGATTCAATTTGGGGGTCTGACTCTGGGAGCATTCCTACATAGAAGAGGGATTTGCTACTGTAATTGTAGCTCTGCTTTTTGTTATTTGGTAGAATCCAGAGCAACTCAATTCCATAATCAAAGACGGAGTGTTGTTTCCAAGCAAAAATTAAACCAACAACAAAATTAGGCTATCAAAGTACAAATGAATTGCCTTCTCTCATGAATCACAACAGTGTCCAAACATAAGACTGCTGTGTAGTGTCAGCTGCTGAAATGATAACACTGTCATTCAGGATGGGGTGCCCAGCTTAGAACACTTGGAAAGTGCTCTGAGCAGTACAAATCATGTTTCATAACACATTTAGATTTTTATAGTCTAAGTCTCTGAACAACCACGTTCCGTACCTTTCCACTCCAATGCATAGAAATCCTTTCTGAACACCTTTTTACCCTTCAACTTTAAGAAAGTTTTCCTAAGAACGCAGGTTTAGAGTACTAAAGAAGTATGATGATATTGCKTTGCTATAAATATTTCAGTGATTTAACTATAAACATCATAACAGTTGTATTTCATATTGTGACTTTTCAGGGTCCTGGTAAAAACAGAGCCACAAAATTTCAAAATTTTACTTAGATCCATTACTCCAGTTTGAATGACAGCATTTTGTGTTTTGATCAACTCCTTAGACAGATGATAGTAGCTGTCCGCCTTCGATACTGAGGAAAAGGCCACMTGTGGACCAAGCAGCAGGGGAAAAGCGAAAAGCAGAGAGAAGAGTGCGATTTCGTGAGCCAGAAGAAGTCATTGAACATGGTAGGTTCAAGCTGGGCATGACCTTTCTAGTTCCTAACATTCACTCTGTCTGTCCTCATTAGCCTCCCTGTCTACTATCATTATTTGTTGCTCTGTGCTCAGCACAAACCACAACCACAAGAGGGATGGACAGTTTTTGTGCTGTGCTTTGCAGAAATGCTGGGAAGACAAGAGTGTCCTCCATGAAGTTAGAATAGCCCCAGGGCTGATCTCACTGTGACCTCCTGGATCAGCTCCTACAGGGAATATTGCATCAATGTGGGATTGTATGAGTGCTCTCACTGCATCCTTCTCCAACTAAAATTTACCTCAGAACATTGCTTTCGTTCGGAATATCTTTAAAAGTACTCATGTCATTCTTTTCTGAAATTTTCTGAACAGCATGCCAATTAATAAAACACAAAAGGGATGCCTGAGCCACACTGGTCCACTAGGGGTAAAAGCATCCAAGTTATAACCACTGCTGTCAATGAGAGCACACAAGGAATAAAATAGCTATTGTAACCTCTGCTCTCTAGTGCATAAGCCACAATAAGCAGTTGCAGATAGGTCAGCTGGAAGTGACCTTAAGCAGAACTCTGTCACAAAGGATCTAATTTGCACTTCTGTTTATGGCTGTATTCAATCCATAACCTCAAAAGGATTATCTTGGTGTTCTGACTTTCACAAACTGAGCTGACTTAGAAAATGAAAATGTATATTTTGTTAGGGAACTAACAAGGTGTGGTTTTGGTATGTCAGTGAGTAAAAAAAACATCTGACAGGATGGTACAATTTCTATGTCAGCCACACATTCTGACTTCCAGTTCAGCTTGGCACCCACCAGTACAGCCATATATCATGCACTGCTTTTGCAAAATGCTGTTTMTGTCACCTTCTAATACCACAGTGAAAATTCCTTCTTCATAAGGAAGATGGTCTGAGCTTTTCAGTTAAAACTGAATTCATGGAAAGGCCCAGGGAGGGAACCCAAAACTCTCGCAAGCTTGTGTGACTGCTCAAGAGCAGCATTTCAACAAGCTGCTCCACTGCCCTCAGCTCCTTGCCTGCAGCACTGGTAGCTCTGCAGTCAGTACAACCTGGGGAGATCTAGTTCATCTCCACTGACATTGACTTTAACACAGTTATGATCAAGGCACTTTGAACTACAAGGAGGGATAAGACTCAGACACTGTTTTTTCCATTAAAATCAAGAAAATTGGAAAAATTTCCCAATCTATAATTAATATTTTTATTACAAACAGCCCATGAGTTAGATGACTTGCTGTTTGTCCATACAGCAGTATTAATATAGAAGCTGGTAAGGGGAAGGTTGCTGGCACTACTGAAATTTTTCCATTCCCTGGACTTTTTATCTTGGATTGCATCTGGGCCCCAGCTGCCAAGCAGAGGCAGTTCCAGGACATTGTTGGATAAAGCTTGTATCTTACAGCAGGGTTTGTTTTCCAAACATAATTCTTGTCTCGGCCTCCTGGTCTATCTCATTTCCCTTCTAGAAATGATTCAGAATAAGGTTTATTTTGTTTTTATTTTGTTTTGCTTTTTGGGTTTTGGGTGAGARTACGACATTTCCTGTTCTCCCTAAAAACAGAAGCAATTTCTGTCTCTCTGAAATCCCTTATACAGAAATTGCTCTTCGCTTTCCTGACATGCACCTATATCTGCATGGCTAAATCCTCATCACAACCTCTGGCACCAACCTGTGCAGCCAAAAGCAATGTGAGAAGTGGCCCAGTGYCCATTAAGACAACAGGCAATTTCAGAGGTATCACTCAGCCACCAAGTCCATTTGCTTTCCTATTCACCTGCTGCATGGAGGCTTTTTCCAGGCWTTCAATAACCTTTTCATTCTCTTTTCTAGCCATTTCCTACTGTGACTACRTAGTGGGTAAGTTGCAGTTTTGCTTGGTGACTGTGAGCCATCCTCAGTGCCAACCTGAGGCTGCTTCGTGGCTGTGGGGATGCACTGTGCAAAAACACCCCTGAAATATGAAGCACTTTATGCTGGCTCTGGCGGTTGCTTTTCCTGTTTTGGCACATGAAGCACAAGGGGTTGATGAGGTCTGGTAGGGTATATTAAGCACAACATTTAGTAAGACAAATAGTGGAAACAAAAATTAAATCCCTGAAGCTATTTTTAATTTAAAGTCAATTAATATTTTTATGGCAATAAACTAGGTACAGGTTTTTCACTAAGATATTCAGGGAAAGCACCCCAAGCTAAACAGAAGTGCTCCCTGCTGACTTCCATGTGTAGGGAATAGAAAATTCATTTGTATGCTGGCAGCGGGGTAGAAATAAAAACAATAATACAATTCTTATTTCTGTTTGAAAGGATATTTGAGGCCAACCAGCCTCATAGACCCTCAAGGAAATGTTGTCTATATGGATGTTATTACTATGATGATCATTTCCAGAGGCCCCAGCCATTCTCCAGACCCTATGATATGTGGTGCTGTAAGAGGGTAGGGGATACACATACATATATTTACACACATAGAGCCATAGTTAGCTTTACCGCTAACAACTTGCCTCAGGTAACAGTGAAAATACATAGCCAATGTTTTGTTTAGCCATGCAACTAAACAAAAATCTCTGTTATCCCRCTCCAGTGCCCTTCCCACAGATGAGTTGCTCTCTTTCTAGCCTAAGCACTAGGCTAGAGCTGAGTGTCCAGTTCTAACAAAAAAAAAAAAAAAATAGGTAGCAAATTTAATTCATGATTTTGCATTGGCAATTTAGAAAAGATACTGATTGCATTTGAAATCACAGAAATTTCACATGGAAAGTAACATCCATGAGATGAAAAAAGTCGTTATAAGCATTGCACAGAAAAGAGCTGATGCTTAAAACTGCTCAGCATTCACAGAAAACCTGCCCTGCATAGTTAGGAGCTATGTTTATYAGATTCTGCCTTTTGAAAGGCAGATAGGCATCCAGCTGAGAACCACCATGTCATGGGATCTAGGAGACTGCAAAGGGGAAATACCTATTTCCAAATTGCAGCTCTCAGCAAAAGCAAAATGTGTTAAGTAATTCCTAGCTAAGTTCTTTCATATAAGCCATTCATAGAATAATTTCAAATAAATTTATAAAATTTGAAGTCTTCTCATGGATAGCTTGCAAACAAAGAGAAGGGCTTAAATTCAAATGAATAAATTATTTGCTGCATATAATTCACTCGACTCTATTATGGGGCATTGATTTGGTTCCTGTTTAGCTCTAAAATGAATGCCTATTAACATTCTACCTTTTCCCCATACATTTTTGATACATTATTATGTGTTTCCTGCTTGGTTTTATGACTTCTACCTTCTTCTCTGTGCATCTGTATGACAGTTTAATTGACTGCTGTGTATTGCGGGGCTGGTAATAGCAGCTAATTTAAATATGTTACAGCTAATGTTGACCCTTTACCCATAATAACGCACGCCACATTTTTATCCTTTTATTGATTATATGCATATGGCAGGAAAATAGCTGCATGCTATGTGTTTTTATTCGGGCATGAATTTGGYTTTATGCTGCATATTTAATGCACAAAGTGTGTTATAAGTAATACTGATCATGCAACGACCATGCATTTGAGCAGAGCAACCATTTCACTCTCTGCAGCACCTCCCAAGTGCAGAGCAATTGGTAGAATGGGGAGATCTGGCTTGGGGACCAACAGCTAGAAGTCACCAGTGTATCCCATCATGGAAGAAGTCTACAGGTAGYCCCAGATTGCCCAGCTTAACTGAGAAGAAAGAGGATGCTTGAAAGGGACCAAATCTCCATCAGAGGATGCTTTAAATGGGCCAAATCTCCATCAGAATCATTCCTTAGGGCTGCACRGAAGCCCTAGAGAGCTAAACACAGCCCATTGATTTCCACACTTGTACTATCCCTGACCTATGGCACTTTAAACATCCTTGGATTATATTTTAATGGAYTACAAAAAAATGTTTACAGTGCTCTCTCTCCCGCTTAAGAGCAAGAGCTGAGGACTTTCCAGTGTAATTAGCACACYTAGCACTTAGAGAGAGAGGTTAAACCTGTCATGGCTTTCTGAATACGCCTCTTGGTTAATAGATTCTCACCTTGGTTCTTGCTGTAATTAGCAGGGACCCAAAACAAGCTGAGTTATCAGGGAAAAGGACAGAAATCTACATCTCTCTGTATGGAACATTTGTGAGCATTAAGTAATTAGATGCGGTCGCTTAATATCCTCCTAGTATTTAACCCAACGTTTAGYTTAAATACACAAAAAAATAATTGCTGGAAGGAAATTTGAGATTATGCATTAGCTATGGTAATCCCATTCTTATTGTATATAATTAAACTCTTGTAATGCTCCATTAGATGAGATCTTTTATATTCACTACCCTCCATCAAGAGGTGTGACTCACTATCACTTAACTGATGCCTTTTGAAGTTTTCACAACCGGAGCCCTGTGTATCCTGCTGTTCCCAGAAAAGCAGGACAAAGACATCAGCAGGGGGTCAAAATTGGGAAGTGTTTAAGATGACACTAAAATAATGCTGCTTTCTTTCTCCTCCCTGCCCCTTTTCAGTACATGACAGGTCATCATCTGGATTGCCTGTGTTCCTGTGGCTCTCATTTTGTGCCGTGCTGATCTTGGCTGTGAGTCTCTACTACACCAGCATGAAGAAAGATTTAAAAGTCCTGGAAGAATTTCAATCCCGGCTCGTTATCTTCTTTCTTCAGATAAGACACATTGCTCAGAAATGCTGGACTTGGTTTATGAGGCAGTAACAACCTTCTCAGGTTACAAGAGGCTTGACGAGCATCAATGAACACTGCTCACCAGCACCAGCCACAAAATTTACCCAGTCTGCTCCAGTTATATGTCAGGGAAGGTATGAGCACCCACCTTGAGGATAAAACCACTCCTGTCATGCACTTCTCACAGTCACCTGCTCTCCTTACTCTTTTGTCGTCACTGTGTCATCATGGTAGCAACTAGAGGTCTCACCAAACTTGGGCTTCCTCATCCAGGACAGTGAACAACCATCTTAACTTTGTCCCCMAAAAAGGTTACAAACTGTAGGTCTGAGGAACAGAGGCAGATAGAGAAATTCATTGAATTCATACATGCAGGCAGTAGCAAGCTCTTGAAATATGTCTCTAGAGTCTCAGGTCAAGGCATTAACTACCAAACCATCTTTCTCCTCAAGTCTCCTAAAGGTAATTCTCCAAAGTTTAAATAAAGCTGAACTATTGCACAAACACTCCTCTTTTGGCCAAAGGCTTGGCAAACTTATTATATTTCTACACATCTGAAAGGATTGTTAATAAAATTCTGGCAAGTATATATATTTTTACCTTYATTCATTTTTGCCTCGATGGGCAAAAACTGTTTCTTAATGTTTCATTTGACTCCCAGGTGTGAAAAAGCACGAAAATTCATTTAAATGATAAATTGTGCATTTGCCTAAAATCACACACAACGGCCTTGTATCCCGGGTTAATTATCAGCTCAGTAGTTTAATCCTCTGTGTTTGATTCAGCCCATAAAACCCACGAGCTGAGCTTACACAGTTGCTGAGCTGAGCTGACAGCGCTTGCGTTTAGACAGATCATGCATTTACCTCCGTGTGTTCAAGGCCTTATATAATGGCAGTATAGACTGTTCATGAAGATGTGGGGGATACAGACCTACTRCCCCTCCATTGCCAGACCATAGTGTGCACCTCTGTGAAAGCAATCATTTTAATGGAGCTCATGGAATAAATGCGGAACCTTGCTCTGATCCCATGAGAGGAGAGCAAGCACATGCAAGCTTATGAACAGCAGTTTTCTCTGCCTTGTTTCTTTCCTTGACAAAAATATCATCGGCAGCTTTTTAAACTCTTTTCAAGTGGCATTAAAGAACATGATGCGTGCTTGGTTTTATTCTTTATCATAAGGATGACATCAGAACCTGTAAAAGATGAAAAAAGAGACAGAACACACTGCAGAGAAAATGGAATTGACATTTGCGAGAAAAAGTCCTAAACTCCTCTGTCATTGCAACCAACCAAACAGAAGGAAATCTGGTGTTTTATTTTTCATTGACTTTAAAAAAAGGGAGAGCAATATTCCTCTGCCACTACAATCTTCTACCAAGCAGCCCACAGACTTAAACTAGGCAATGGATGAAACAGAAAGAAAATACGCAGCTGCACCTGAAAGGACGTTCGACAGCAACCTTATTGAAAATGGATCCAAAAAGTTGCAGTCTCAGAGATAAAAAGAGGTCACTTCAGGGCTATTCTCATGCTCATCCTGAGATGCCCAAAACCCACAGCAATTGTACATGACAAACTGCCAGCTGGGGAACCAGAGACTGCTGCAGGAGGCCTTTAGCTTGGTGGCTCTTGGCACAAACYCATCGTGTATCCCGAGCATCCAGGGTAAGTTTGACCGTTGTTTCCCTTCCCTCTCACCCCATCACAGCTTTGCTTTTTAGATAATAAAGAAGAAAAAATTTTAAACATATGTGCTGGTCACTCTCTGACAGATGAATTGGGAATGCTGTACTCGTGGGGCAAGTGGGTCACCAAAACCTTTGTTTTGTTCTTTTAACGTTTATGGTCTTTTTAATGCTTATGCTTTTAACGTTTGGCAAGTCAGTGAGTTTCCTTTTTTTGATCTAGATCAACGTGTCTGTAGACAGCACATTCAAAACAGGAGCCTTCCTTTGCAGGGACAGTGCAAGCCCTGAAACTCACTGCATTTCGTAACAAGCAAGCAAAGCCCAGACCAACCTCGCAAGGAAAYGAGATCTCCTCTTGGGGCTCTGAACATGAGGACAGAGCTCAAAATGCATATGAAGCCTCATCTTCCTGCACTGCTTGCCAGGAGGTGGATGCTGGGACCACCTTTCTACAGACCTGGTTTAAATGAAAAARGAGCACATGCACCTTACTGAGGCCCATGTTTATCAGTGTGAGAGAGGCATACCATGAGAAAGCCTCTTGCATCAAGGCTGTCAGGGAAATTAAACAGAGGAACAGCTATTCTTGGCTTCTGCTGAGGCTCTGTTTGGGACAGTTTGGGACATTGGCAACAGCAGCACTTGAATTGTCTGTTGAATTCAGGCCACGACCTTGCGAGGTCTCCTGGGTCAGGACTGTTTGCTGCAGTCAGACAGACACATGGCAGATTGCAGGAAGTCAAAACAAAGTCAATTCAAAGCATGATCAGAATGTTTGAAATAAATAACAGCTTAATCCTCTCCCTGTGAGTGTGGCAGCATTTTGCAGATGAAGAAACTGAAGCTAAGAAAATCTATGGATGTTGGTGAATGAAGCACGAAAATAACAGGACTGGGAATAGGACCAAAAATCTTGATTCCTGCTCTGCATTTTAATGCCGTAGCATGCCTAATCGTTTAATTGCACACCTAATCTCCTTATACTAGAACTCATGACACATCCATCCATTCTCCTTATACATACATCCATTTCAGACCTTTTTACCCACTCTGCCTCTTCTTKCTATTCTTTATCCATCACCAGATCCTATTCCATTGCTGTGAGCTGGACTCCTTCTCTTGTTCAATGCTGTTTTTCTATGAGTCCATGTGGAATAGCTAAGAGTAGCTCTAAAATTATATGAAATTGGCCGTATTGGGTAACATTTCCTCTATTGACCATGCTGGCTAATATTTCCCTTCAGTATAACTCCAGAGAATTGCCCATGAAGAGAAGCAAAGGAGAGGAGTGTATAATTTATTGAAAACAATCAGGATGCTCACATGAATTTAATCTGGTGCGAGAGCAGGTATATCCCTTTAGAAGCCAGGAGACCTGAAAACAACCAGAAATGAGCAATTATTTAATCTGGATTGGAAATAGTGAGGATTATGCTTCAAAGGACAGAAAGAGTTGTAGAGGATCCTGATCCAATTTTTGAAGCACACAAAGGATAGATGACCTTCCTAGAAGCAGTGCCTGGAGTGGCAAGAATCAGAGRGCCAGAAGACAGCAGAAAGAGGTCTGTGCATGGAAAGGGGCTAGCGAGAGGGCCTAGGAGTGCAAGGCTAGAAGTGATGCTTAGTATCCTCTATACAGTGGGCATTAAATTCAGGCACAGCAGAAATCAGYAGACCATGAGAGCATGGGATGGTTGCAGCTCAGCAGTGTGCAGCACATTCCTGCAGCAGGAATGGAGGGCAGCTGCCAGCAGCCTCCTCAGGGAGGCTCAGGACATCAGCAGCACCTGATTATGCCAGCAGACCTATCCCTACGCCCACAACAGGAGGAGATAGGAAAGAACACAGTGAGACAACACTGGATTTTTGTACATTAACCTTTTAATGCACCTCGCATGAGCACTTGTAACAGGCAATGCCAAAGGCTTCTGCTTCTGGTTCTTCTTCCTCATTCTAGCTCTCCATCCCTGCTAATCTGGAGCAGCCCATAACAGCAGGTTTAATCATCACTCTGTCTTTTGCCATTTGGAAGCAAGTACAGGAAATGAAGTGCATGACTACAAGAAAGGATACTGCCAGCTCAGAAACCCCCTAAGAAAATGGACAAGTGGACTTGTTTCATATTAGTTCCTTGCTCCAGGATAGCCGGGCCCACCCCTAAATAGAAACAAGCCGAGTTCCTGAAGACAACAAGAAGCAGACAGTGGCAGGACCAAATGGGGAATGAGCACAACAAATTGAGGTACCACTGTTGGGCTTTTGAAATAATTTATTTGTATGTCACCAAATCATAAAAGGCCAATGCACTGTCCAGCAAAAAGCATTCAATATATAAAACACATTAATTCATCATCAATTACACTAGAGAATATMGCGTATATTGAACTAATTCCAGCTCCTGCTAAAGCCAAAGGAAACTTTTTCAATGGCTTCATTAGTAGGCAGGCTGGATGTGCAATTTTTATTTGCTGGATGTTTACAAATGGCTATATTAAAAATGCTAATAAAAGACTTCCCTTTTGATACTGTATCAAAACAATAACAAACGTAACTCCAACTCTGTTTCTACTAAAATCATGCAATTAATGYTCCAAATCAGCAGTCATTACACTGCAAAGGACCATACAAAGCATCAAAGATAATATTCAAAAATACACCAAGTTCTATTCTTGGTTTGTGCAGCCTGGCAAGGCTCCAGTATGGCCCACAATGCAAAACTATATACACCAGCTAAGGATCTGCCCCTCTCCTGCTTTCAATGTTCAAACAAATTATGAAAAACTGTTCTATTTGTACTCCGAAATATCCATTATATAGAGACCTCTTTAGCAGCATAACATGGTGTTTAGGTTTTTATAAAGCTTTCTCAAGTGGGTCTAAGAGACAACAGTTCACAAATATTTAAGCTACAGGACATGTATTTTCAGAGAAGCTGAAATGCTTTCAGGCACTGCACTGGATGTAAGCAATAAATACTCCTTTCAGACCTTTGCATGTGGTACCACATGAGAAACAAAGCTTTTAAAACTATAGCCAGGGTGTTAATGCACTCCTTTTGCTAACAGCAAGTTTACAGTGATTTGGGAAGAGTCCTTTGGTMACTGCACGATTCACAAGCTGCACAGGGCAATGGGCCAGCCAGGGATTTGGGGAGCCACTGGTGATGAAAGCAGAGGTTTTCTGTAGCAATCTGCCCCAAACTTGTACCACCCATGTTCTGCATTTCATGTAGTTGCCTGAGTCGACTGTAAGCAATYGAGATGAACTAAGACAAAAATCAATGTCAAGATCTGCCACACTGGGTCCCTTGCCTTGGTGGATGTGCACTGAAATCCCTCAAAGCAAGTGCACTACTAGTTTTCCTCACCACTTTTATTCTGATTTATGGCACTCTCCTGTCCCCCTCAGCAATGCTTCTCTTCCTCTGAAAGGAAAAGATGTGAGAAATAAGGCTTAATCAGCTCAGTTTCAA